AAAAGAAAGCCTTAGATCAGTTTTTTTCAACCTTGACAACTTTAAGATGGGTGGATTTAAACACACAAAATTCCCCAGCCAGCCATGCTGGCTGGGGAATTCTGGGAGTTGAAATCCACCCATCTTAAAGTTGTCAAGGTTGAAAAACACTGATCTAAGGCTTTCTTTGAAAAACATCAAATTAAATATTTGTTAAGCACACCTTCTGCATCTGAAGAACATGAGCAGGTGAAAAACTAGATGGGGCTCCACTGATTTCTAATAGATGTGCAGGTTTGTTTATTTGCTTATTGATTTATTTAAAGCATTTTTGTGGCTGCCCAATTCAAACCAAGTGACTCTGGGCAGCATGCAAAAACCAGTGGACAAAAATACAAGAGAAAAACAAGTGCATCTAACCAAAACAAATAAACAATTAAATGGCAATCAGAAGCTAAAATGTGTCATATCCCACCCAATGGGAACTCTGCTCATCCTGACCCAAATGTCCATGGAAAGAACCACATCTCAACTGCCTTCTAAAGGCCTACAAGGTTGGGGCCCGTGGTTGTTCTAGTGTGTGGCTAGTGGGAATAAAAATGGTAATAGCTATTCCTTTCCATTCTACTTCATCATCCCTTCTGGTTGGTGGACCTTGGTTGCCATGCAAGGTCAAAGAAAACACCTGCCAGCCTGAAGTTTGCCCACACCTGATGATGACTAATGACTGATGATGATGAGTTTTTAATAGGATGCTGTTTAACTGCGAGCTTTTCATTTGAGAACCAGGTCTCTTGGATCCTTCTTTTTGACTTAGTAGCTTGCCTTTCAGAGTCCTGTATGAACTGGCTAGAAATGCAGGAACCTGGATATGAACCCTTCGAGGTAGGCCACCTGGCTCAGCTGCAGAATGTCCAAGTCTCCTACCCCCCTGGCACCTACCCCCAGCCGCAGCTCTCTCTGGAACCATTCTATGGCCAGGAGGGGATAATGCCTGCCCAGAATGCAACTATGGGATCCAAGGAAGAGTACAACACTGAGGTGAGGGCAAAACCTTAGTGTCTGGGGAGGGGGAAAGAACCTGGGTCCCTTAGATCTCCTTGAAAAGACTATGAGGTCTAGATCAGCCTTCTCCTATGCGGGTTATTTCCAGACATATGGATTTCAACCCAGAATTTCCCAGCCAGCATGGTCATCGCTAGTAACTGTGGGTAGTTGAAGTCTACGCATCATATTTGGGAAGGCTGCTTGAGACAGGGAGATGAAAGGCTGAACCCTTGAATTTTCAGACAAGAGAATGGGGTCAGTTGATAAAAGAAAATACTGTTGGTGTTGATGTTCTAGACTGGGAATGAGGTAGGAGTATTATTTGCCTTGTGATCTGTATTTTGAAGTTTTCCCATTGTCAGTCATTGGTCAAACAGGCTATGGGGGACCCACATTTTTTATAAAGCACAATGGCATCCAGAAAATTATATTCCTCCCCAACACCACTGCGCTGATCAAATTGGTAGACTTTCCCACCTTTCTCTCCTGACGTTTCATTTCATTTCATTTCACTTCACTTCACTTCACCTCACTCCATCTCATTTCATTTCAGTGATGGATTGATTTTATATCATTCATATTTGGGGTGGGATATAAATGATGGAAGATAAATACATAAATAAAATGACAGGAGATAGAGTTTTGAGTTTCCTGCATGGTGTGATCTTTGGACCTTAGAAAACTATAAGGAAAAGCTATCAACAAAATATGGCAGTATATTCTTATTTAAGATCGAACCAGCCTAAAATGGAGGCCTTCTGGCACTACACATGGTTTTTAGAGGTTATCATTTGGGCAGGAAGTGTGAGAAAAATATCCTCTTTCCTGTCCTCCAAAAATATTTCTCTGGACTGTTTTGGAACATTAAAAGGCTCAGGTTAGAAGGCTGCCTTTCATTTAAAGAAAAGAGACAGAAAAGTTGGAGAGCCATTTAATCTATGTAATTGTAATTTGGTCCTAACTTAATGCTGTGAACTGCTATTTAAATGTTTCATTTCATTCAGTTGCCCTTTCTGGTTTGATCTCCACAGATCTACCTCCCATATGAACAATATTCTGCTCCAAGGGAAATCTGTAGCCCATTGTCTGAAGAGGAGGAATTTCACAAGGATGGCCGGAATCTGGAAGTATCTTCTGACAGTGATTTGGATGAGAATCTCTTATCTAGGTTTGATTCTGGTGAGTGGAGGGTAAGAATCCTAACTCAGAAAGCAGATAAAGCCCAGCACATCCAAAGGGCATCAGGTTGAGGGAATGTGGCTTGCTCACTAAACCCTAGAAGGCATAATATGAGGGCTAGATTGAGAGATTGAAAAGCATTCCAGAAGCAAGTAGGAGCATGCCATAGCACTGCCAAGAAAACTGCATGGCTACAGTTAAGAGAAGTTGAGCTTGATATATCTTTTAAATGTACAAGTAGTCCTCGTTTAGCAACTGCCTTTTTTAGCAACCGCAGTTACGACAGTGATGAAGAAGTAACTTTACGACCAATCTTCGCATTTATGGCCTTTGCAGGTCTGTAAAGCAAAGGAAAACTGAAGTAAGCATAGTTGCAGTTTCACTTAGTGGCCGCTTCACTTAACAACTGAGTTGCCAGTCCCAATTGCGGTTGCTAAATAAGGACTTCCTGTAAGTCCTTTATCAAGGAATTAAGCATTTGTAGACTTGTATATTTTTTTCAGTCCTCCTTGGAAGACAGGCCAGATTTTCTATTTTACAGATGGAGTGCAGTTTTGAAATGAATTGTCTAGGCATCTCTACTGTTTTCAACTCAAAGATATATTGCAACTCAAGATAATAACTAGATAGCTGAAGTGAACCAGTCCCATACACAACATTTTACACCTGGGTCGTGTTGTCACCCTCCATGAGATTGCCTTCATCTTGTTCCCAGTCCATGCGTGAGGCAGGTTTAAACTGTCACTAGCTGTCCTGGTTAAATGGTGTTTTCCCTCTTATTCTGAAATTATCCAAGAACTGCCTCTGTGAGGCTTTGTCACTCATCACCTTGGAGGAAAATGAGGTGCCTACAGGGACCAGAAATACAGTGGAGGCAGGACGGGGATCAGCAATGGGAACAATAAATTTTGGGCTGGTATAGTTTTCTGCCATCTCAAGGTAGCTGGATATTCTTGTTTTGCCTGCTCATGTTTTAAATGTATGTGTAGGGATTCCTTTCTTAACCTCCTTGCTCCCCAATCTTGGAATCAGCTCTATGTTCATTCTGAAGCTGGTGGCCCTACTTTTTGTCATGGTAAACTATTGGTCTTCAGGATACAATTAATAGTAACGATTCTTCTACCAGCACTGTTATTAATACTATTATGCCATGGCATTAGCCTGATGCAATGTTCATGGGTGCTCTTTAATGAAATTAGGTCTATACTGTAGTGATATTATGCGGAAAGTCACTGTAGTCACAGGCAGGAAACAGTGCAGTAGTCTCTTATTTGACTTCTCCAGCATAGTACAGTGGTACCTCGGGATACGAACTTAATCCGTTCC